CGAATTTTTCGCCTTCGAATTAGAGCCGATGTTGCAACAGTTGAAAGAATTGTGCTTGCATGCGTTGCTTTGCACAATTACCTGCGTTTAACTGATGATGCCTGTTACTCTCTAAATTGCTTCATCAACAGTGAGGACAACCAGGGAGAAATTGGGTCTGGGGATTGGCGAAAGATTGTTAGCAACGATAAGGGAGTTTTTAGACCCTTCCTAGGCCAAAGAGCAAGGTAGTTTCATGGCAATGAAATCACGTATGGAGCTGCGGCCCTCGGAGACACTTAAAAGTAACATCTAAGTGATATACCTTCAAGACTGCATCTAAGATAGACTTAATATACCTTAGAGAGTACTCCCAGGACAAAAGAATTGTGTTTAATGAAAACAGTTGCTTTATTAGAACTATTAATCGATGCTTAATTGTCATAAATTGACATAACTTGTTGCCGTTTAAAACGAAAAATGCAAAACAGGATCAGAAGTTTACCACAAACAGAACTTAATGATAAACTTACAAATCGTTGGTGTTTGTTCGCTTATTCTATTTGGGTAGTGATTCTTAAATTGTGAAAGTTTCAAATCACATTTCATTTGAGCAATGCAAGTTAATGAACAATATGAAGTATCTTGTAAGCTGAGTCATGTTTAATCAACAGTTCTCTCGATACTAAAATAAAAGAAGTCTTTGTGGTCTAAAACCACTTGCAAAAAGGGGCTGAAAAGCTGACGAAAAACAATCAGTTTCCTTTTCTTCAGCCAATACAAAAACGTGACTGGCTAGACTAACATAATCATTTTTCACCATAACAGGGAATTCGATTTCATCTGGCGATCTTTAAACTCTCTAAGAGTTTTCTCATATAGGATGGGATATCGACAAACGGCTTCAGAAAGCAGTTCGTTGATATCTGGATGCACATGTTCATCAATGCATTCAAACTCCTCTGCAGCCACCGTCTTGAAAATTGTGCGTCGGCGAGGGAGACTAGGTTCGATATTTTTGAGATACTCTGATTGGTTCTTTGTTATGTTGTTATGTGGAAGGATGTTCACACTTGTCTTTAGCTTGCATAAACGACATAACGTCATAACGAAATGATCTCAGTTTTTTCCTTGTGTTGTTATGTTGATGTCGTTATGTTGCTGTTAAGTCGCTTTGTCTATATGTTCACACTTGAGACATTACGACGTAATGACCTTTTTATGTTGTTCATTATGTTGCAAGTGTGAACCAGGCTTTAGGCATTCCGCAGTCTAAAATGCACGAAACAGAAGTTTCAGGCAAGCGGGGTTCTGAGCTGTCAACGAAGGCATTCAAGGTGCAATTGCTATGGGGAGGTGTCAATGTTTTTTATCGCTTTCTCTGATTGGTTTCGTGGGAAAAACAGAGGCCTTTGTAAGGGCATAACAGTCCATATATAGAGTATTTTTGGCGTTTTGCCGCTCTAAACAATTATCGAACTGTTCAGTATGATGGCCGCCATCAACAACAGATCTGAATAGCAACCTTTTGTGGGATATTTTCTTAATTAGCAGTCGATTTTCTGCCACAAAAGGCCTGCAAATTTAGAGGTTTATACTAAATTTAACTTGTTTGCGTGGATTCATTGGAAAGGCGTGAAACTCGGAGGATATTACCAAAACACATACAAGAATAATTCTGTGACATCACATCAATATTTCGTGAATATACGACTCGTGACAACATCACAAAAATCACTGACAAGGTAAATTACATTTTGCAATGTAAAATATTCCAATAGATGTAAACTTTGACGCACTACCAAAGTATGGTAGAAAATGTTGAGAGCAATCATGTGGCCAAAGATCATGGTCAAAGAATAAATTTTGCTCAATCTTTTTTCAGAAAATGTGATGTGACATGATAATGACCACACCCATAAAAAGTCAAATTCCTGGAGTACTTTAAATTCTTGTTGAAAAGTACACAGTGTGGCTTTTCACTGATGGTAATTTGACAGAGGTGGAGCAAGTTTTTTTTAACGCAAAGCATAAAATTTCAGGGATAAATGCAAAAAATAGCCTCCAGGAATACCTTAATTTGAACACTGACTCGTCTGAATATTGTACACATGCAGTGAAAACTAAAAAAGGAAATTACAATGTACAAGGTCAAAAAAGGAGCTGAGACTAATTGCAAAAGACGTTAACTTACAAGGAAAACGAAAAGTAAATACAGTAGGCTGAAACTTACGTCTGATCCTGTCTTAAAGGGCTAAAGAAACTCCAACGTTACGTAACTGCAAAAAATGCTTTGAAAACTCCAATGTAACTCCATCAATCTCCTAACTCCAACTCCGCAAAAACTTAAAGGGCATTCTCTAACAAGGGTACCATTCACGACTACAGTTGTAAACCGGTTAGAAACAGGAATGGCTAGCTACGTAAGTGATTCAAGCTGCGAACAATAGTACATGAAAAAAAGGGCGTAAAAACTTGCTAATGAAACAAAACGAAACCGTATTTTGAATGTTCATTACACTCCCCATCAAGTTTATTCCTTGAAAAGAATGAATGTCTTTCAAAAGTTAAGTTCTTCCTCGGATTACTTTACCGCTCAAACTTCGTTATTTTATTCACGTTATTCTCATTGCAATCACTGGTCCACTGAAACGTATGGTAAACTTCCAAGGCCTCTAGTCCAGTCATGTGTAACAGTGTCATCGCTTGAACCCTTCCATCTTTTCTTGCCAAGCCTGATGTTACTCTGTAAACCTGAAATTGGTGCACAAAACGCCGCCAGTTTTCCGCTAAATTTCTTGTGAGCACAAGGGCACTCAGAGGCTGTAACTAATCCATATTAATGCTTTTCTTCTGACACCATCTTAAAATGTAAAGTGAACTCAGTCATAAGATCAAGAAGGCAACTGTCCCTAGGCTCCCCGAATATCAAAGGGCACCCAGACTATGCTGCATATATCATACAACAACAACAACAACAATTTATTAAGGTATTTCCATATCTATACATGGCATTACCTATCTAATATTTATGAATAAAGTACAAATATATCATTTATAAATATATAGCAAAATAAAAAGATTATATTCTTTTCTGAAATAACATATCATGTCTGTAACGCATACATTCAAAAACAAAAGCAGCAATTGATCTACAAACAGAGGGATCTATACTATTAAAGAGAAATAAAAGTTTTGAAGTCACATCTAAGTCCTTGAAAAGTGTATATCTATCAGATATTTCACTGAAGACTTTTAAACGTAAATTGTCATAAAGTTTGCAGAAGAATAGAAAATGAAGTTCATTTTCAACTTCATTTGTCTGACATAGATAACATATTCTTAAATTTTCGGGAGTTTTAGGTACTGTGTGTCTGCCTGTTTCAATATGTAATCGATGATTTCCTAGTCGAAATTTATTGAGTGCCGTTTTGTGAAGTGGGTTTTTAATCATATTTAAGAATTCTGCTTTTTTATTATCGTTCTTATAAAGGTAGTATAAAAATTCAATTTTCTATTTGTTTTAAGGAGGGTAAGTTGATGCTCAGTTAGAGCATTATTGATGTTTTGCTTGATGTAAGAGGTGAAGACTTTTTCGTTGTTTTCATTCAATGTTATGGCGGTTGCGTTGTACTTGCTACATATAGTTTTTATTTTCTGCATCAAACCTGGCTGGTTGTTATCGGCCATTTCCTGGGAGAGTTGTAGACATTGTTTTGCTATGTTTTTATCTGGCATATTTTGTAAATGAATCCAAAATTTAATAATTGAGGTATCTATAGTTAATCTACCGAGTTCATTTCTAGCAGCGACGTTTGGACATTGTTTATTTACGCCTAAGGACTGTTTGCAAAAATATATATGCGTTTTTTCAATTATGTCTTTTTCCCAGGCGTTAAAATCATCTTTAGTATATATGCCCCAGATTTCAGATCCATATAAAAGAATGGGGAGGAAAAGCGAATTAATGAGTTTATTGGTTATGTCAATTGGTAGTTTCAAGAAATCAAGGTAAGGCCAGATCGCAAAAAACGATCGTCGTGTTTTTTTTTTTTAAGTTTATTTTACACACATTGAAGTTCCCATTTGTAGCTAAATTGATTCCGAGGTATGTATAATTGTTAACAATTTCTATTTTGTCATTGTTTATCTGAAAACAATATTTGTTAAGGACTGATTTTCTACATTTCTTTTGAAAAATCAGAACTTTAGTTTTCTTTGAATTAACAGATAGCAACCATTTGTTACAATATTCAGCGAGCACAGAAAGCGCTTTTTGAAGTCCTTCGGCTGAATGGGAAATTAGAACAAGATCATCTGCATAAAATAAACAGTTCAGATGAGTTCCATTTGGTAAAATAATAGGGTCTGTGTCTTGTCGGTCAAGTAAAAAAGGGATTTCATTTAGATATAGGTTGAAAAGCATAGGAGAAAGGATACAACCTTGTCTAACCCCTTTGCAATAGTTAAAGAATTCCGTTCGTTGACAATCGGAAAACTTTATGGAGCATTTAGTTTTTGAATAAAGGTGCTTTATTAAATCATAAAATTTTCCCCCAATGTTGTACCGAAGGAGTTTATAGAATAAGCCATCATGCCAAACCGAATCAAAAGCCTTTTTGAAGTCAATAAAGCAGGTATATAATTTTCCTTTCGTAGTTTGATTGACGTATTTATCGATTAGTGTTCTTAAGGTAAATATGTGATCAGTTGTACGATGATTCGGTAAAAAACCTATTTGAGCTTCATGCAATATGTCTTGATCAATTACAAAATTTTTAAGTCTGGTATTAAGTACTGAAGTGAAAAGCTTTCCGAGACAACTATTTATACATATACCTCTATAATTTCCCGGGTCTTGCTTGTTTCCAGATTTGTAAATATAGGGGTTATTATTCCTTCGCACCAAGAGCTAGGGTAAAAACCGCTTTGGAGTATAAGGTTAAATAATTTTTGGAGTGCGGTGTTCAAGAATTGTACGCCGGCTTTCAACATTTCATTACGAATTTTGTCAGGTCCCG